TCATGATAAGTTCGATGTCTGACTCAACTGAGTTTGTGTGACTGAATTTAGATTGACCAACACGTGTTTGGCGATCTAAATTCGAATTAAGTTTGACATTTGACCCAACGGTCAAGCTTTGCCTGTTTGGATTGACTCAAATTGCAATTTAGTTCATCTCCTGTGAAGATTGATGGTTGACCTGGGCCTTAGCGTTTTTGCTGATGTCATTGTATATCATAAGTTTTTACAGCCAGTGTCATGGCGGGAGTTCTGAGTCTCAGGAGTACATGATGTTTATTATCTCAGTATGACAAAACATGTTATAAACTGAATTAAATATGTTACACTATTTTCATGTTTTGCTGACAAATGCTACGCTTTTGTTAATGATCATGCAGTAATATTTCAAGCATCCTCTTCATCAAGTTCAAATCCAGTGAATTCTTTATCCTTTGAACAAGGGAATGCTTTCCTGATTGCATCACATGCACAGGCAGAGAAAGGATTCCTCTTATTCCCTAAGAATCTATAATTCCCAATAGGAAACACTTCCTAAAAAACTGAAACTAAATGCAGCAGATAAATGTTAATTAAAAGTTGTGGTTACATTCCAAGTAGCTACTGTGTGCTTGGAAATATGAAAGGTTCGTATTACTTGAAGTGTAGAGTAGAATAAAGCAGTGGGAATTTGGACATAAATTTTTGCTTTGCAAGGTACAACAAAAGCAAGACAACTTGGATCTAAAGTGGAATTTCAATGATTCACAAAAGAAGGGGGATTTCGAAAATCTTATTGTGCAACGAAGAGAACATTCAACGTCAATATTATTTATCCAACTGGAGCATAAATTATGTTTAATGTCACTAGGAAATACAATAAAAACTAAACAACTCAGTGTTTCAGCCAGAAAATTTTAGTTGAGGGCCAAAGGGGCCCCTGAAGATCTTTTTTAGGGGCCATATTTTTTAGGGAAGGGGCCAATGAATTGAAAGCTACAGGGTACCAAGGGTAATAAAGCAGTTTATTACGATCTATGACAAAATTTGATAGAAAGTGATTTTTGAAGTGTTTCTACCCAATAAAGTTTCTTTTGAATCAGATACTACTAGTATGAAGGATCCGTGCATTATAAGAGAACAATCCTTAGGCATACATGACGTAGTC